GGTAATTTGTTTTCTGGATGGGGTCAAAATACATACAAAACAAATTCAGGGATAGTACTATACATGAAGTCCGCTTTTACACGAGTATCTACGGTATTCGCTTGCAACAACAACAACAACAAAAAGAATTATTCTTACAATCAAAAACTTTGTATCGGGTTTATTTAACCCCAAAAACAGTTCCGTAAAAAACAACAACAAAAAAAAACACAAAACAAATCACATCGAAACCGGCTGGATTTTGCTCCAAACGTATAAAACAGCTGCCTGATAAATGGTAACAAATCATTGAAAATTATGGTGAATAAAGAATTATATATAAATCTTTCATCCAAGCTCCCATGTTTTCAAAACTCAGGGTTTACTAGATTTATTAAATACTTATATATATATATATATATATATATATATATATATATATATATATATATATACACAATTCTGTATGAAACAGCCCTTTAGGAAAAATAAATAAATAAATAAAAAATAAAATTGTTTGGACAATTATGGTGCCAACAGCTATCTTTCGCTGTGACTGACCAGACGATGAATTCTATCAGTCGCTTTGAAATGGACACCCCGGCCCTATCTCGGTCTGACCTCTTTCCAAAGGTGACTGATATGTGGATACAAAATAACTCTTATGCCCCTCATCAAGATGGTCGCTCTAGCCGTTTCCATAGTAATTAATTTTGTGAATGAACATGCTTATAAAGATGCATAAATTTCAAGATTGATTATTCCTAAATTATCGCTTGACGATGAAATAGGGCTTGATACTTTAATTCAATTTAATTTTAATAATTATATTGAGGTTTTCGGCTCTTGTTTTTGAAACATGAGAACTCTTATGTAGCGAAGGAATCATATTTTTTTAAAAAATAATTACAATTGAAGATCTACTTCCGTGTGGAGCACTGTTTTTTAAAAAATAGAAACACAATTACGAAAAAAACCCGGATTATTTACGCAACATGTTGTTCCTATTTTTCTACATATCTGCACACACACACACACACACACACACACACATATATATATATATACTTGCTCCATATGTGGCCTCCTTCGTAAATCACTTTCGTCAGGTCTTAAATGCCATTAAGATTATCCTTTCAAATTTCATAACTGAATCAACTAAGCTGTCAGATCCTCATACGTCGAAAAAGACATCTTTTCCATTATATATATATATATATATATATATATATATATATATATATATATATATATATTTTTTTTCTTATAATTTTACTGCTTAATGTACCTTCCTGGCGAATGGTAAGCTTAGTACTGGTAGATTAAAATTTTTGGGTAAGCTTCACTTAAATAATTTCATTATTCTAGTTTTATTCAAAGAACTTTTTAATCCGCCCATGAAAGACATTTTTTAGACGTAGGCCATCCACAGATATTTTCTTTGCCGTCCCTAAACGCACTGGCCCTAACAGTTGGAAGAGACAAACAGCACCTTTCTCTGTCCATTTTACCTTTGATACGTCTTTTGAGTGTCAAATTCTCCAACCCTCCTTTTGCATGGATAGAAGGAATCTCAGTTTTCTCTTTCTGATTCTGAGTACGTCTTTGTTTCCATTCTTAAGACGTCTCTGTTGCTTACGCGCTTCGACCATGGAATTCTCAGCATCCTACTGTAGAAACACATTTCTGTTGTCTCCAGTTTCCTCTTCTTCTGTGAAGATATTGTCTAGCATTTACTACCATTCAAGAGAATTCAGCATTCCCGTCTGTGTTTCTGATTTTTGGAATCCATATTTAGCTCATCCAATGGTAATATTAGCTTTTTCCTTATAAGGAAACATTTGGCGTTTATTGACCGAGCAGCCAGTGCCACTCAAGTTATTCTTGTCTTCACTCCCTGGTCATAGAGTTATGATCAAAGTGTAGTATCTGTTCTCCTCCTCTCTAAAGGTAATGGTCATATTAGCCATCTCCCTATAAGGAAACATTTGGCATCCATTAACCAAGCAGCCAGTGCTATTCGAGTTATGCTTTTCTTCATTCCCTGGACATCAGACTGGGCTCAAAGTGTAGTATCTGTTCTCCTCATCTCTAAAGATAATGGTAATATTAGCCATCTCCTTATAAGGAAACATTCTTCACTCTCTGGACATCGGCCTGCGATCAAAGTGTAGTATCTGTTCTCTCATCCCTGAAGGTAATGGTAATATTAGCCATTTCCTTATAAGGAAACATTTGGCATTCATTGACCGAGCGGCCCATTCTACTCGAGTTACGCTTTTATTTACTCCCTGGATATCAAAGTTTAGTATCAGTTCTACTCATCCCTAAAGGTAATCGTAATATTAGCCGTTTCCTTATAAGGAAACATTTGGCGTTCATTGATCGGGAATCTAGTACTGATATCGGTTTGCTTTGATAATCGAATGGGAACAGGTGTTTCAACCTGATATAGGCGTATGCTCGCTATGCAACATACTAATTATTAAATCTAGAGGGTGGCCTGAAATGTTTGGCCTATATTGTATCCTTGTCCTTGTTTTTAACCAAACACGCGGGCGGTTGCCCGGGATGAAATATTACTTAAAATTACATTGTTAATTAATGTCAATGAGAGAAAATATAAAAAAAAAGAACGAATTTTTAGGTTAAGATTGATTTGTTTTTTATTTAATTAACTGAATACAATCATCTCTTTTATTGCATTCCTTTTTAATTAGGAGTTAATTATTTTCATTAAATTAATTTCTCTCCCTCCCACGTCTGCGATCCGCCTGAATCATAATCATAATCATAAGCATGGCGAAGTGTACTGTTTAGCATGCCTGTCTCGCTAGATCAAATAAGATTGAGTAGTGAATTCGATCCTCACTGGGTGCCCCATACTTTCGGCCTTGTGCCACATCAACGCTTAGTAAATTAAGGGGCACTTCGATGTGTTCCAATGGTTAGCAAGCTTGTCTCGATTACCACTGAGCATTGAATTCGATCCTCACTTTGTTCCCCCTTACATACGGCTTTGTGCTTCCTCGAAGCTACGCTGAAATCATTTTAGAGCACTTTGATGTGCTGTATTAGTTAGCAATCTTTTTTCGCTAGATCAATTACAACTGAATAGTGAGTTTGATCCTCACTAGGAGCTCCATACTTTCGGCCTTGTGCCACATCTAAACTACATATAGAAAATCACCACATGCATTACTATTATTCATGCTTTGGGACGTATCTTTCTTTTTGTCTTAATGACGTTCCAAGACCAAGGTATTGCACCGTTAGAATACAAATTAATGCAATTAACTGATGAAGGCTGGAAATTTTGGTCGAAACGGGTAAGTAAAAAGACAACCGAGAAACATCAGATTTTCTATTTTAGCCTGGAAATAAACAAGTTAATGAAGGTGAAGAAAGAAGAAATGGCGGACAGAGTTCATCTTTTACATCTATAAAGCTACCGTTCGTCCAGGCAGTGTAATATAGAATTGATCCCCCACTTTATATCCACATCATAATTTCTTGTTTGTTTATCAAATTCTGATTAGTTATGAATCCACCTCTTCTCTCTTCAGATATGGGTTAATTAATAAAACTTGTGTCACTAAACCAGTATTATCTAAAAATATTCTTAGAATCTACAAATATTTTCTGCCTTTAAATAACCCGCAAAAAGGTTGATAAGCTCGAGAAAACGAATCAATGAAATACTGATCAGCTACACAGGCATATTTTTTAGATCTATTTATATTCACTGTAATATAAATGTATATAAAAAACCTACTGTGGCGATCAGTGAGGGATCAGTTCATATATTAGCTTTAATATAGAATTGATCCTCCACTTTATATCCACATTATTATTTCTTGTTTGTTTCTCAAAATCTGATTAGGTAACAATCTACCATATCTCCCCCTCCCAGCTATGAGTTAAGAAGAAAGAGTTGCGCCCTTAAACCATTATTATCTAAAAAAAAAAAAAATTCTTACAATGTAAAAATATAGGCAATCATCTATCTTTCGATACATGACTGACGAGGCAGATTTTTTTTTCCCCCGCAGCAGGCCGCCATTTCTTTCTGCGTTAGACCAGTTGCCATTCAAGGCTATAGAACCCGGTCTGTCCTCTTATTTACCCATAGCTGGAAGGAGAAGAGAATTCATACCTCTTCCCAAGGTTATTAGCATGTAAGTGAATGTAATGGATTCGACTGGAATACTGGCTTTAAATAACCTGCAAAGGGTTGATAAACCGTAAAAAATGAATGAATTTATCAATGAAATAGGGTTTAATTACAAAGGCAAGCCTTTTAAATATATTTACATTCTCTGGTACATAAATATATAAAAACCACCGTGGTCACAAAATAAGGGGTCAGCTTATGTATTGATTGTAATATAAAATTGGACCCCAACTTTATATCCACAGCATGATTTCTTGTTTGTTTCTCATATTCTGATTAGGTACAAATCTGTCTCTTCTAGCCACGGTAAGATTTGTATCACTAAACCGTTATTTGAAAAAAAAAATTCTGGCTTTAAATAACCTGCAAAGGGTTAATAAACCGTAAAAAAATGAATGAATTTATCAAGGAAATAGGGTTTAATTACAAAGGCATGCCTTTTAGATATATTTACATTCTCTGGTATATAAATATATAGAAACCACCGTGGCCATAAAGTGAGGGATCAGCTTATATATTGATTGTAATATAAAATTGGTCTCCCACTTTATATCCACATCATAATTTCATGTTTGTTTCTCAGATTCAAATAAGTACAAATCTGTCTCTTCTAGCCGCGGTAAGATTTGTATCACTAAACCGTTATTTGAGAAAAATAATTCTGGCTTTAAATAACTTGCAAAGGGTTGGTAAGCCGTAAAAAAAGCGAATCCAGCAATCAACATGATCTTGACTTAATTTTCTTAATATCGAATATCAGCTTTGACCTTTCCTCCCGCCACAACATCTGACCTTATCGATTATTGGAATTAATTGATTTCTTATTTAATATTTAGTAACTGACAAGATGTATCGCAGACCGGGCGACCATAGTCCCCAGCGCCGGAGTTCCAGCGAACATTTGAAATATCGCTTTCGCCAGGGTGCCAGGCGAAAGGAGGTTACAGGTACGTGTCACATCTACAAACTTACACGGGAAAATACACATTTACATTTCATAGAATTTGGAATAAAATAAATTAGGCTGCAGAAATGTCACGCTGCAGAAATGGCGATTTAGCTTTATTGAATTGTCTGTCTATATCTCTGAGATGAGGTATTATGATTACTTATATTATTTGGACTAATCTGAGTTAAAAATAGAAATCGATTACACCCTGCCACTCCAGCGGGTCTAAAACAGACCACATGATAAAAGAAAGTAAACTAAAGTGGTTCTTTCATTTAATTTAAACAAGGGTGTAGTATTTCGTTGTCAATGATTTTCTTGTAAGATTTACATTCTTAATGATTTATATTATAAATATTGGATTTTATACCATAAATATACATTGCCAATTATTTTTATCGTAGGAATGACGTTGCCAATGATTTTCATATAGGAATTATGTTGTCAATGAATTCTATTATAATTCTGGCTTACAAGTGTTTTATACCATAAAAATGCATTGCAAATAATTTTTACTATGGAAATTTTTCTGACGTAGAGTTCATATGCCAGAAAGATGGGAAAAAAGTAGTGGCTAGCGATGGACAATACTTTCAGTGACATGTTTCTAACTAATTTTTATAATTACATTACTTTTCATTAAAAATCAGGGAGAACTTATTCAAGGTCCTAATATATTATCAGTTATTTTACTTAAGAATTACAGTTTTACTATAGAAATTAATTATCTGTGATTCTATTATAGAAATTGTATTGCTAATGAATTTTAGTACAGAACCTCAGCTATTATATTAATACAGAAATGCGTTGCCAGGAATTTTGATTTTCTTTTCCGAAAATAGAATATTAATTTACTATACGATTTTTTTTTTTACTATAGTAATGAATAGTCAATATAGATGTACTAGGCCAGTGACTTTCGTTATTGAAACTGAACTATTAATAAGACTTTATTATAGTTACTGCACTATCAACTACGTTTAAAACAGTAATGCATTTTAAAAACACCTACAATCAAATGATATTTATTTGTAAACTTTGCAGAAACTCCCCCGTCTGAACTTTCGGGAGCCCTTTTGGTCAAGGATGTAGACTTTCACGTTACCGAGAATTGCAAGAACCACCATACCGATCAGTTCCATATCGTAGAGAATGGAACTTTGGTAATTCGTCGAGGCCAACCTTTCATGGTAACTCTTTCATTCAACGAGGAATTCGACGCGTCGAAGCATGAACTGAAATTCATGTTTCTTATTGGTAAGTACTTTTTTTCTAATATCAAGAAATAATTTTCGGGGCCTAATCAAGAACAATATAAGTGTACGGTCGGTTCCGGCATAGATGAGGAGCTCAGATTAATTATTGACTTTGGTAGATGAAATATACACATTAATACATAAGTTCGTACTTCGGATACGTTTTTTCAAACAACAGTGCTAACAAAAAACAAACATACGCTATACGTGGTCATTACAACATG